CTCCACGCGCCTCAGTGTGTCGATGTGGTCTTGATTGAGGTCAGCCACGGCTTTGACGGTGTAAATGGCGATCTGCTACTACTACTACTACAACTACTACTACTACTACTACTACTACCACTACTCCTGCTGCTACTGGTACTGCTACTGCTTCTACTACCACCACTACTAACTATCGATGACCTAACTAACAACCCATCCACAGTGAGAGGGGGGAAAGAAGGAGAGACGACAGACAAAGGGAAGAACGGACACACGTTCGCAGGCCGTGTGTCCCTTCTTGCTTTTGTTTGTCGTCTCTCCGTCTTTCCCCCCTCTCTTTGTCCGGAGGGTTGTTAGTTAGGTCATCGATAGTTGTATTTGCTCGGCTTTACTACTGGTTTGCTCGCAAGAGCTATGGGACCCTATATACCAGGTTACCATGCCCCTTTCTGACGTTCAGGGCATTTTCGGTGAAGCTCGAAAACCGCTGCTGCCATGGTCTACGCGGGCAAGCCGCATTGCCCTGACGAGCGCCGTGGAGCGTCGTGATTGCGAACCTGGCCTTCGCGAAGAGCTGCGCCCTGGCAGCTGTGGAAACAGGTGGTGGCACTCTGCATGTGAAGAATCTGAATCTGGATATGGCTGTGATACCATTTTCTGGCGATGTAGCTGCGCCACAAGATTGGTATCCAGGAGATCCGACTGCATGGAATTTGCACTGCTGGCCTCGCTCTGGACAGGACTTTGCCCGACACATGGACTCTCGTCGGGACCTGGAAAAACACTTGGGACTCGCTCTGGGTCCCCCTGTCTTCGCTGGTTCTGAAAAGACTTGCTACCTTCGCTGCCCAGTCTGGACTGCGCAGAAGTGGTCGATCAATCGGTTGCAGAGCTGTTGTGTTCTCAGTGGACAAGAGATGACAAGAGCTGTACTAGTGCTGCTACTGCTACTACTACTCCTACTCCTACTACTACTACTACTACTACTACTACTACTACGACTACTACTAATACTACATTTACGATTTCTGCTCCTGCTATACTTCTCCTCATTATTCTTATTCTGTTATTTCTTCTGGCGACAAGTCGTGCAGTATTGCCAAGTCAACGATTTGTGTTGTTGAAGTTGGCTGGAACGCTGTGTTGATAGATCCATGCAGGCTTATAAACGTGTAACCCCTTCCCGCCAATGTTAAACGGGGGCCCCCTCAATAGAAACTCGGAAAGTGTTCTTATCATTAGGGGGTATTTTTATCTCTACTGCCACTTTTGAGGGGTCGTGCTCTTGCTTGCTCCTGCTTTGGCTCTGCTCGCTTTGGCTCTTAATTCTGCTGCGTCTTGCACCTGCTCCTGCTCTTGCGGGTGCTGCGCTTTTGCTCCTGCTCTTGCTCTTACTCCTGCTTTTGCTTTGCTCTTGCTGCCGCTCTCGCTCATGCTCCCGCTTCTGCTCTTGCTCGAACTCCTGCTCTTACTTTGCTCCATGGGTATTTGGAACCTCGGAACCCTCCCCCTAATTCAGAATAGGTTTTACTGGGCACGGCTGATTTCGGAAGGATTCGCCCCAACGTGTTTCTATTTTAAGGGGGGTGTTTAATAACAGGGGGAAGGGAATAGTCTCCATGCAGCAGAATCCGGACTTGACGCAAACGTTTCATGTCTGGGGGCCAAGGAGTCAGGTGTTTTTAGCTGTTTTTAGCTCAGGGCGGTTAGTTGACGATACCATGGATTTTTCAAGACTTTCCCGACATTGTTTCTTCCACGATAGGGTATCAAGCGCAGCCGGATTCACAGAGGTGGGAGCAGGTCCAGATCCTCCCTGGTATATTCCAAGAACTGTCTCCCCAGACACGCAACCCGCAGGAGACATCGATCCATTGGGGGCCGGTCTGGGATGGGTTTGCGACAAGCTTGGCCAAATGGGCCACTTGACACATTGTGCTCTAGCAGTCTCAGTGATTTACGGACCTGTACGGAACCACTTTTGTCTCATGACCAGGGCCGTTGAGGCTTTGACTGCTTTGCCCTGCATTGCACTGTGACCGCCCCTAGACTTTCCCAAAGCCAGGCCATGATTGCACAGAGGGCATGCCTGCTGCTTGCCGCTTGCCTGCATTGCTGGAGCATACAGTAATTAGCTACAGGATGCCGAAGATAAATGTCGGGAAGCTTATGCGGGCCTTTTGGCAGGGCTCTTGATCCGGAGACAGTGGCATGAACTGGGCCTTCTCATTTCCAGCGCAGAATTCTGCAGTTGCGTTTCTGTGGGTGTAGGGGGGGCAGAGCATCCTCTTGGCGCCTTGTTTCTCTGGCTCTGAAGTCCCGACCTGATGCTCTCAGCCAAGTGGCACTCATCGCCTGCACGGATCGGGCATTTGAGGCGTTCCGCAATATATCTTAAGTTTACATGTAGTTCAGTTCTGAAGAGGTCCTCGGTTTGATCGAAAAACATGTTGGAGGGGTCGAGGGCCTTGTCCCACCAAAAGTCCGTCGATTGCTAGAAGATGCTTCACACAGCCAGCCTTGATTGCTGGAAAAGGGAGGTCCAGGTTGCAGACAAATCCTGGCGAGGTCCTTGTAGGCCGGACAGGAAAGCCGAAACGATGCGCTTGCACATGCCCTGTGTCTATCGGAGCCACTTCGTGTGATAGCACTTTCCGTTTCGCGGCGAAACCGCCAATTTACTGGTACACGTTTTTGCTACTCGCCCAGTGGACCAACCGTGCAGACGGCGGTGTGCTCTCAAGGACTCCAAGCACGAATCCATGTACCTCGAGAAGAAATTACAAATTACAACATGTCAAACAGACAGGATTTGCTCAAGTACCCTTCAAGACAATCATACCGCAAGCTTTTTTGCCCTGAGGCAGCCCGGATTCAGTTTAGATTGCACTGAGGAGCATGGTATGGTTTGCAAATACATGCAAAATAACTACTGAATACTATTGACCAATATTCACAGAGGCAATTCCGATACAAGTGTTATTGCTTCTGTTAGCGCTAGTATCCAGCCAATGCTTATATGTTGATTGAGCCAGGGTCACCGGATGGCACCAGAAATGGGGGAATGCTGCGAGAAGCGGCGAAGCTGTTATGTCAGCCCTTGTACGAAGCGTCACGAGCGGCAGGGTTTGGCGCCAACATGTGACACTGCGCTTCAGGTCGCGCCAGGACATGACACGAGATAGGATTAAGAAATTTGGGTGTAGGGATTAGGTTTTAGGGTTGTTTGGGGAGCATCAGGCAACTCGCGCGAGAATCGTGACACCGCATGCCACGGCCTGGCACCGACAGCTTCGCTCGCACCTCCTCGCAGCTTTGTCGAGTTTCGCAGCTTCACAGCTTCTGTCGAGTAGGTTGCCCTCCAGGGCAAACCCTGTAATCTCAGATTAATACATATAGTCGTTGAATATTTTCGTACTGTCTCCTCAGATTTATATGAGCAGTTGGAAAATTCCAATTTGGATAGTATTCGGGTCGAACTCATGAACAGTTGGTTTTCCACAAACACTGGTATAACGGATCCTTTCAGTAATGCAACTGCGAAAGAGAATCATGCACGCTGTAGCAGTTAAGTACTAACTCGATCGTCGATGGTGATTGCCGCTCATTTCATTGAGAAGGAGTTGCTACTGTTCTCGTAAAGTTTAAACGTGTGTATATATTTTTATATGTATATAACACTAACTTCAATTGATGCCTGATTATTCTCACCTTCTGATTTGCCTAGTACCAAGGAAACACTGACTTTAAAACAGTTCTCACTGTTCGCTGGTTCAACATCTGCTTTGCTGCTTTTTCATTTATGCGTGATCAATTATTAACAGGAGCTTCTTGCGTCCCTCGATTCTTGAACTAGGTACATATGCCTTGTGATTGCAACGAATTCAGGATGCAGCTTTGTCGGTGCTATGTGATTCCGCATGTCGCTTTGCTTGCCGATTCTGTGGGTTCGCAAGGAGCACTGTGTTTGAGAATCAGCCGCGAGGAAATTTCACGGCGAACAGTCACGTACATCTGGCCGTCTCCCAAGGCCTTATTAAGAAGATGAAGACTAAGGGAACCGTGCACTTCCGGATCCCCTATATAGACCCTAAATCAGGGAAAGTGAGAGTCGAAATCAGGGAAAGTGGCTGATGTTGGTTCAGAACAGAACGATTCTCAACTACGCGATCAGTTATGCTAACTAATGGTTGAGCAAGTCTGTAACATCAGGTAAACCTGCAGTAGAGGGAATGGAATCCCGGTTAAGTTTGGTGATTTGCTAGACTTGGAACAAACGAGGCTGACGGAACAAGGTTCATTTGGGGGGGAGGGTTACGGCAGTTTTTGTATCAAAATGCTGCAGCAGGGGGATGTATAGGAGCTCGTGCTCGCAAGTCCATGTGTACACTTTTCGTAAACTGTCGAGGTGCGGATGACATCTACACCAAGAGTGACTGGGCCTTCTCGATGTATTTCGAGCTTAAGAAGGCCGCCTCCGTCGAGCAGAATGATTGGTTCTCGACCCCTAAAGTAAGAAAGCTGATGACGACCTGAAAACCCCAGTGCTGCAGCTTTGCGCCGTGCATGCTGGGCTCCTCTCCAGGGCGAGGCAGATGCGGCGTCCATCTGCGATTTCGATGGCGCTGGCGTCGTGACGGCACTTCCAGCTTCTCGGATGCGCACGTAAACGGATTTTTCCCTCTGCATCACCGGAAGGCTTGTTGACTCATATTACCTGTGAGCTTCATGTGATGTCTCCGCCCACATGAAGACATGCAGGGCCGACTAGACTGCATGGCGGTGAAGATTTCAGCGGGCACAACATCGAGCACAACCGCTGCAGCACCCGACCCAGGCCAATTTTTGTGCGGCAGCGTACCTGCACGAAGGGACACAATGACTTCTTGTTTGACGGTGCCCCGAAGGACAACCAAAAGACGGAAAGGGCGGGTCTGTACTGGCAGACAAGCTTTGGTGGCTTGCTGCAGCTAATCGAGTTTTCATGTTTGACAGATGACAGCTGCGACAATATATCCATGCTTCCTAAAGCAACAGGAATGCCCGCAGCATGCCTGGCAGATGCCGCCATGTCACACTAACCCAATCCCTTGTTTTCGAAGAGAGGTGCATCCACAATCTTACCTCAGCCTCGCAACCGTGTAATTACTTCCCTTGTCGCAAGGTGGTTTCTCGCAGCAGCGGCGCTAATCCTGGGGATCATCCTCTTTGTTTGCTCGCGGGCCTCGGGCTTGGCAGCAGATCATGAGCACGATGGCTCTTTCGAAGGATCCAATGATCTGCCTCCACTAAGACCGGCCAGCCGAACGACTCGCGAAGCTCGCGAACTGTGGAGAGAGCCAGGGCCTCGTCTAGGTCTTGTCAACTTTATCCTGTTAAGCTCCGCATATGTTCAGACAGGCATGCGCCCAGCTTCCATGCAACCTCACCATAAGCCTCTCCTGTCGTCCCACTTCCAGACTCCAGGCCTTAGGAGTGCCGTTGAGAGATGTCAGGGCTTGGACCGAAAACCTGTACCGTGCTAGGCTGGAAAGGCGCCGTTTGAAGCCTATTTGCTGTCCTTGATCTCCGCCAGGACACCCAGCAGGAGTTCGAGATGGTGACTTCAATGGCAAGGGCTTGAATCGTTTCTTTCGTTTTGCGAGCGCAGCAGTAGCTGCTGTCAGGATATCAGCACTCTCTGCTGTTCGCATGTAAATGTAACCGTCTTAACCGGGGCTGCAGATGCGCAAAATAGAGTAGAGATGTACAGGTCTGATGACCTCGACCCGACTGCCAACTGTAACACATTCCATTGAAGAGGAATATAGTGCTTTGTTTGACCCGCAAACTTTCGCCGTGATCGGGTTGTGGCATTCGGTGACTTGCATGTTCCATCTCTCACACGCCAGCTCTTGCGGTTCTCTGAATGGGTCACTGGATCCTGGATTGATGAATTGAAGGCACACTGCCGCGTGCTGCTGCAGCTGCTGGCTCAGGGTATAACTCATAGGTATTGACGCAAGACCACCATCAGCACCAGCACTCGCCCCACATCATGGACACTTCATCTTGACCTGCCAACATGTGCCTCATGCGCATGTCAGGGGAATGCAAGCTCGTGGGCATCAGGTTATCGCGGTCATGGAATGTCAACAGTCCCTCAACATCTAAGTATACACTGGGTAGCCAGTATATAGGTGCTTCGAGCAATGACGCGGCTACTGCCTAATGCTCTTGCTGACGAGGCGGGCCGTTCAGACGATTTTATCTCCTGTGCTCGTCTCGAGCAGCTGCATGGGGGAAAGCTAACGTTTAGATCCAGAGATGTTCGGTCTCAGCCATGCCCACCGGAGTCAAGGCCTACATGAGGTCAGCTCAAAGTGCAGCTTTACACAGCGACCTGACCCAGCACACTGGAAGCTTGTCACTAGACCACGAAGGCTAACGATCTGAATAAGATATGGCAAAATGATAACGAAGCCATGAGCGTGGCCCAGCCTTGAAAGAGGCAGAAGGCGGCATCCTCCAGACTACCCCAGCTAAACCTTCAAGAGCTAGCTTCATGCGTCGCTTTGCAGTCCGCATGCAGCCATGGACGGCAAGGAAAATGCTCTAGTGCCGTCCGGAGAAAGCGCGGGTGGCTCCACTGCTTCGGGTTCTTCCCCTTGCTGTCCTGGGGCCTGTGGAGGCTGCCCGGGCTGTCCAGGTTGTGGCGGGTGTGCTTGTCCGTGTGGCGGCTGTGGTTGCGGTCCTTGTGGCTGCCCTTGTGGCTGCGGAGGCTGCTGTCCCTGCGGTCCGTGTGGTCCTTGCGGCTGTGGCTGTCCACGGCCGGGTGGACCAGCTTGCCCACCAGGCTGTGGAGCGTGTCCGAGCTGCCCAGCATGTCCGGGTGCCTGTCCTTGCCCTGGCGGGTGCCCAACTGGCTGCCCCGGCTGCTGTCCGGGTGGATGTGGAGCCTGCCCTGGCGGCTGTCCCGGCTGCCCTGGAATGATGGGCCCAATGGCTGGTAACAACCCCATGATGGCCATGATGATGAGCCTCCGATGCCTTTGCTGTTGGGTCCTTCGAGGTTGCGAGTTACGACCGTCATTGTCAATCGACTTTTCGATTCAAATCCAAGGATGATGAACATGCAGCAGATGATGGCCAAGGCTGGAGGGGCCGCGCCTCAGCAGGGCATGAACCCGATGGCTGCCATGATGGGAGCCTTGTCTTGTAATAGTATGCAATCATGTCGTGGCCTTCCGTGTAAACACTTCGCCCCTCAGTTTCTTGTATGTGTGTATTATGTGCTGAAGGAGACGCGAGATTGTTCAAGAGGATGATGATGCGGTAAAGCCATAAGGCCATAATGTTAGACAATACCTCATGTGATCATGTGATCAGGCCCAGCTTGTTGTTTCCTGTAATGTTTGCTAGCTAGCTAGCTAGCTAGCTAGCTCTAGGGTATCCCGGATCAAAGACTGCTGTCGGTAGACCTGCAGAACTTGTGAGCCCTGGTGGACTCCGTGGACTGCTTCCAGAGTCGAGGAGTTGGTGGCAATGGCGCCGGCTCTGGCCCACGACTCCCAGCGGACAAGGACATCGGCTGCAAAGATTCGGGTGAGGAACATACGTCCATTCAGTTCTCACATCTCGGTGAGCTGGTTAGCAGCATGCAAGTTCAATTCAATCCTCAACCCTACAGAAACAGTGTAGCCACATGGATGCAGGAAAAGCCGACGCTCCCACAAGACGACGATGAGACCATCGACCCGGACATACGCGAGCTCGGGGTGTCTAATCTGCAACAGTGCTTCAAGTTGCAAGCTTCACGCAAGTTTCCTTCACCGCGAAGCCGCTAAGGATTATTTCAACATAGAGGAGCGATGGGTTGTTCGCTTGAACGAGGCTGGGTGGCTCAGGCTACTGCGAATTGACTGAAGATTGCATTTGCTTTCTATTCGCAGCATGTGATCGGTTTTTTGCAAAGGTGGCTGCAACGAAGGGTGTTTGCTTCCTCAGTCAGAGAAGTTTGCTCGTTTCGCCCGCAGGCGATGAAGAAACGGCAAGACACGAAAGCTGTAGACATCGAGAAGCTTTATGAGGTCTTAGCCACTCTCATTGCATCAGCGTGGTTGACACCATGCATGCGATCTTATGCTTCAGCCTGCACACAGCTATTGCAGCCCAGGAGAAGGCTCGGAGCCCGACGGGATTACTTACCGTGCAAATCGGAAAGATGGAGTGCGGGCAGTTCGTTGGGAAGATCAAGCCGGACAAGGACGTGGAGCGGATGGCCAGAATCTTGCCAGACATGCTGTCTCTCTAACCGGAGGCCTTAATTTGTAGAGGGGCCCGCATCTCGCATGTCACGGCACGGGCACGGGCAGCTGCAAGATTTTGGGTCGGTGTTCATTCTTTTCAAGCTTCGACTGGAGATGCTAGCGCCAGGTGATACAAGCATTTGACAGATGGTGAAGTGTTGATTAAGATTCGAGCATCAACCCAGTTCGCCTGACATGCCAACTTGAACAGAAACAGTGACACAGAGTGAACTGAGCATCCCGCGAGATATACCGTTTCGCGGGAACGTGGATCTCGGGTCTCGAAGCCCTGACAAACCCCGAGGCTTAGAAGGGGAGTGGTGGCAGTGGGACGAGAAGCGTCAAACCATGTCAAACCTCTGTCTGGAGGGGATGCGAAACTCAACCGGGGTCGTCCATCGTCACCGTCACGCGCAAGGAGGAAGGTACGACGCACCCACAGAAACAAGGCATCCTGCAAGCCGGCCTTGAGTCACAGAATCGCGACGGTCCTTGGGGATGTGCACCCAGGAAAGTTCAAGCTCGACGATCCTGTGACCTCAAGGCTTACGGAGCTCAAGGCTTCCAACTGATGTGTGGCGCAGACTACCAGCTTACACATGTCGACGAAACGCCACATTCAGAACAGCACCTCAGCGAGAGTGCAGAGGAATCTCAGCTGCGCTGCTGTTTGCCACAGGTTTGGCGGAAGCGAAATGGCGAGGAAGACAGGGCCACAAAGGACTTGCCGGCTTCGTCGCAGTCACTTTGTTTGAGCAATTTAAGGGTCTAGTTGCTCGGCATCCAGACGAGAAGCTTCGTGTATGATTCTCTCGGGAAGGATTTGGAACGGATAGAATACCACCTGCGCTTCGCAAAGAGGCCCAATGCCCTCTGTACTCTTCTGGCTGCTTGGTCAACACTGAGATTGTACTTGCATGATCCTTTCGGCCCACGCCATTGCAACCGATGTCTCTGGGGATGCATCCGAGGTGGGCAAGCTGCTTGAATGTGAGGTGGATGAGTTGCCAGACCTCGTGAAAGCAGAGAAGATCATGACGGATTATAAACTTGACGAGGATGGGCTATGATGCAGAAATTTGCTGCGGCAGTATCTTGTAAGATACTATATGTAAGTCTTGAGTCCGATTCAATGCGCAGACATGCAGAGAATTGTTTACCTTGTGCGACTTCAGCGCGCCTCCAGTATGGGTACGATGCCGGGGAAGCAGAAGATCACCCATTCAGAATTACTAGTGAACCCTCTTTAATTTCCCGGCATGGCTTACAAGTGAGTCAGCCTCATCTAAGAAGGCTTCACAGTTGGAACTGGCAAGGATGCTTGCTCGAAGATGCGGGAGATCATTGAGAAGCGCCGATGGCTCAGCAGTTTGATAGTGGAAGTCAAGCTCTGGAAGGTGTCTTAGCAGCACGTGCTGCAACTGTAAGGCGGCCCGGCCATCCCCAATATCTGCAGCGTTAATTCTCCAAAAATATATAACCTATACACGGCGCACGTATACTGTAGTGCCTAAGCACACAAAACCTGCTGGTTTGAGGGCCCCTCACTTGGCGCAAGTGTCTTGTCCAGGCTACGACGACGAAGATCGTGTGATTGCCAGTGTCCGGAAGCACCTGAATTCCGCTAGCAATGCTTCCTCCATGTCTCTCGGATTTGCAAACTTCTCGCATCTTGGGTATGTCTGTTGGTATCAGTTGGTATCACAAGGAGCTGCACCAGCCTTCTTTCTTGTACGACTGCCGAAAGCTGTCCTAAATTTACTGATCGAGCTGATCAGCGATCAGTGCGTTTGTTGGGTTTGTGCCTTCAACCCAAGGTACCGAAGCCAACGAAGCGGTATTAATTCATGGCAAGCAGCACGTTCGCCTTCCTTGCTCCAGCCGTTCGATCCAAGGTTGTGTAAAATTGCCCGGCAGCTCATCGATGGAGGAGACCTGCCGGATCCGCCTGAGCGACCGCCGAAAGGAAAAGGAGGAGGAAAAGACGGTGGCAAGGAGGATGGCGAGCGTTCAGAGCGCCGCTGGGCGGAATGAAAGAAACTGGGCCCTGTTAGGCAGCATTGCTTTTAACCGCGCGTGGCTTTCGCAGGCAGACGTGATGGCGCTGATCGACATCACGACCGAGACCGTGACTGTACTACAAGGATCAACTTCCAAAACCTGCTTTGGATGTCTGTGCTGAAGCGCAAGCTGCCTCTCACACTTCTTGTACTTGAGCAGGGGTGCTAGAATTTGCCAGCACGGATCCGGGTTTATCTCAAACACCGACCGGCAGACACCAGAGATTTGCAGTTTGCAGGTGGTACTGGGAAACGTCTGTGGGCAGTGTTTGTATGTTGCCTTCCGTCCAATAGTTTCCGCAGGCAATCTGCAGAAAGTTTCCTTTGCTGCCACTTCGCACAACCTTGGGGTCGAGCCCGGGCAACATAAAACCTCACTCGACTGGGTCTCTGTCCGACTGACAGCCTGCATATATAGTGATGGGGGGGAGAAATGAGGCCACAGAGACCGCAGCCGCAGCCGAGACCGCCGGGAGCGCTGCGACAGCCGCGGCCGCTGAGGTCAAGCATCGGCTCAGGCTGAACAAGCCAGCGCTGGCAAAAACATCCGTTGCTGATGCAATTTTTAAGTGTGGCCGTCAAGTTGTCGGATGTAGCCTGCTATTTTTGTGACGTTGTCCTTCTCCCACGTTCATTGCGTGCAGTACATCCTTCCGCCATGTCACGAGAGCTCAAAGCTGCGGCTGCAGGATGGTGACCCAAAGCTAAGATGCGAAGCGCGCAGAAGAAGCGGCGTGCCCTCGTACTTGAAGCCAACGAGAAACCAGTCTTCGCTGCTGAACAAACAGTCAACTGTCTGGCTGGTTATACCAAAGAGGCAGCTTTCCAAGATTAGCATTTTTGGCACTAGGCCTGCAAGGAGCGCAGCCATGGACGGCA